TGAGATGGAGGATGGTGAATTGAAAAATGCAGTTGATATTGGGGAGAGTGAACCAATTAATGAGTCGGAGCACGAGCAGATTGATACAAAAATTGTAGAGATGGTTCGGCAAGAGAGTGAGCAAATAATGGCAGAATGTGTAAAGTAAATGGTTGAAAATGTTGTGGAGGAATAAAGAGCAAAGTTCCATTTTTAAGCATGATATGGTGGAGACAATACATTATGAGTACGAAGACTCATATCTCATTGAGGGGGAAGCTAACAAATTCAACATTTTTTTGTTTAATTCTTTCTTTCAGGTGAATCGTTGTATGTAGGAGTTCATACAACACCATCTATAGGTGATTGTGTTTGTGTTGTAATACATCCATACCTACAAAATGGATGGATACTGTGTATTGATCATATGCCATGGAAGGAAATTTTTCCATTTGATCCAGGTGGTGCTGTGATGAGTTGTGTAGCAGGTTGGTTATCCCCTACGTGATCATAAGACACGGATTCGAGGGCGAATCCTTTGGAAGAGAGAGTGGATAATATGACCCGGGATAGACAATCATTTGGTCGAGTTTTGGAGTCCAAATAGAAGAAGTTGACAGGCCAAGATTCAAGTTTCATGAAAGGCTCGGAAGCCGAAATGAGTTGGATTCAAGGTTTGGAAGAAATTTGGAAAGAAAATGAGCACCGTGGATGAAAACGGACATAACTTTCAGTTCGATTATCGGATTTTCGCCCATGAATATATTTCGAAAATGGCACGAAATTCTGCACAAGTTTACGCGAGCTCATGGTACTTTTGGACTTGCGATCGCACAAAAACATGCCGAAAACAAGTTGGCGGAATTTTCCTATTTTCGCGAGATTTCCTTGTTAGTATATGATTCTATTTATTTCCTATTTTGACAATATTCTATGACCTAATTACGTTTTATTAGGGCTTTTAGCATTAGTATAAATATGAGATTTATTTCATTGTAGAACTAAAATGAGATTTCTCTCTTTTTGTTCTTGATTGAACGTGTACCGAACTTATCAAATATTATT